GCCCATGATGTCATCAGAAGCCTCAGAAGCCCATGATGCCTCAGAACTAGAAGCCCGGGCTCTCAAGGACCGAAATGGAACTATCAGAGACCAGTGTGGGCCCCATGGCAGCAGACATGAGCCCTCAGAAACCGATATGACCCCGATATGGCAATAGTCCATAATGGGCCCGCTGCGGCAAGATAACGGCCCTCAAGTTCCGAAATTCCGACATGGGGACCAACAGAGACTGACAGGGAACCTTGGAGGACGGCATGAAACGCCAAAAGTTTTTCCTTGGACCACAGAGACTAAAAATGGGACTCTCAGAGCCTGTTGTTGGGTCCTCTGAGGCCTGTTTCGGGCCACCAGGGTCCGGTTCGGTCCATCAAATGCCGGTCATGCCCCTCAAAAGCCGGTTTGGGACCCTGAGCGGCCAGTACTGGCCCTCCAAGGCCAGTTGGTCATTAGAGGTCAGTCCAATATGGGCCCTTACAGGCCAGTGTGGAGCTCTCGGAGGTCAATGTTCCTCAGAGCCCAGTGCGAGATACCCACCGGAGTGGGTTCATCAGAATTCAGAGGCTAGTGTGGGTCCCTCCAAGGAGCCCGGTTCGGCGCCCTCAGAGGTCGGTGTAAGGCCCTCGAAGGCCAGTATTGGTTCCCAAAGACCAGTATGGGCCAGAATGGGCCATCAGAGGTCAATGTGGGCCCTAAGAGGCCGGCAACGGGCCTTCAGAAGCCAGTACGGGCCCTCAGAAGTGCCCAAGGGTCAGTCTTTGTCTGCCAGAGACAGAAATTGGGCCATCCGAGGCCGGTGTTGGGCCCTGGCAGGTCAGTTTGGGCCATCAGAGACCAATTTGGACCCTATAAAAACCAGCGTGGGTCCGTACAGGCCAGTGTGGGGCCCTCGGAGACAGGTACAGAGCCTTCCAAGGGCAGTTTGGAACCATCAGAGGCCGACGTGGGCCCTCAGATGCCGGTGTGGTATCTTACAGGCCAGCGTGGAACCCTCAGAAGTCAGAGGTCAGTGTGGGGTCCTAAAAGACCAGCATGGGTCGGTGTTGGACCCCAGAGGTCAGCAGAGGACCCTCAAAGGCCAGTATGGGCCCTCAGAGGCCGATGTGGACCCGTAGAGACCGGCATCGGGCCTTCAGAACTGTCAGTCGAGCCCTCGGGGGCACCCAAAGGCCAGTCTTAGGCCCCCAGAAACAGAAATGAGGCCTTGAGAGGCGTGGACCCTCAGAGACCGGTTTGGGAGCCCTAGAGACCAGGACAGGGCTCTCAAGGGCCAGTGGAGGGCATGGCCCTGATGCCCCTGCGACCGCCATTGGGCCCCACCCCCACCCCAACCCACACACATACACACGCACACACGCATATAATATTATGATTTTGGTACTTGGCTAGGTACAGCAATGTCTCAATGATGACCAGTCACAAATTACATTTCAGCTGGGCGGCACGTTTACTTGTGGGGCGGCAGCCGCACCTACATCTGAACTCTGAAGAGCATGCAGCCTGTGCCTACACTTAACCCGCGCACCGACGGGGGGGGGCGGATATCCGCCCCCCCCCCTGAGGTTTTTCGCGGATAGCGGGAAAACCGCGGCGCGTAGCGCCGCGAAATTTGGTATGACTATTCTCTCATCAATTTTACACATGGTGTGCAAGTTTGAACCTCCTAACTTTTAAGGTCAGGTCACCAGGTCACTTTGAATGACCCAACCTCAAGTCACTTTTTTGCAACTTTGTCACCGTGCCAGAGCTACAGTAGATGTCGGAGGCCTTTGAAAGTCGCAGGATGTTATTAGGTCATTAGTAGCTACAATTTGTATATCTCGGAATTTTGATGTCGGTGACCTAAGGTCAGGTCAATTTCGCGACCTCCCCATTATAAGTCAATGGGGGAAAAATCAACTCCCTGTTTTTACCACTAAAACGGGTCGGAATGGCCCCATATACCATACATGACTTCACATACGATCAACCTTCACTACCTTGAGGTCTGTTTTGCTGTTGGGCAGCTATAAGGTCATGTGACGTCATCAAAGGTCACCAAAGGTTTTTTGCCAATAACTCCTTACAGGAACAAGATACAGCCGTGCGGATGGTCTCATTGTGTTCAGCTCATCAAGACGCATCAAATGATATACATGATGACCTCGAGGTCACGTGACCTGAGGTCAACCTTTGACCTTGACCTTTCGAGGTCAACATATATATCATTCGATGCGGATTGACGAGAGGATCACGATGATGCCCTTAGTTTGTTCCTATCTTGACTACTTCGAAAGTTATTCGAGAAAAACCCTCTCCATATCTAGCGCCGCCATTTTGACTTTTTCGACCCCTGTGACGTCATCTTTGACCTGACCTGAAAATGACCTTTGTAAAAATTGTAGACCTTGTCCGTGCGTATCCGATGCCGTTTACCGCTTGTCGCTATCTTGCTTAGTTCTCGAGATCTCAGGGGGGGGCGGTCATCCGCCCCCCCCCCCCCCGTCGGTACTAAGTTGGCGCAGACCCCCGTCGGTGCGCGGGTTAAGGGGCGGCACGTGTACTTGTGGGGGCGGCAACTACACATAAGGGGGCGGTACTTACACTCTATGGACGGAACCTTCATTTGAGGGGGCGGCATCCACACTTGAGGATACTTAAAGAGGCGGCACCTACATTTTAAGGGGCGGCACTTAGATTTGCGGGGGTCGTTAACTACACCTGAGGGGGCGGCACCTACATTCGAGCGGATGGTACCTACCTTTAAGGGGGCGGCATTTACACTTGAGATGACAGCATTTACACTTTAGGGGGGCGGCACCTGCATTTTAGGGGCGGCACTCACACTTGAGAGGGCGGCACATACATTTTATAGGCGGCACCCACACGTGAGGGGGCGGCACCTATCTACATTTGAGGGGAAGGCACATAGGTACACTTAAGAGGGCGGCACCTGCATTTTAAGGGGTGGCACCTACCTTAAGGGGCGGCACCTACATTTGAGGGGCGGCAACTACACCTCAGGGGGCGGCACCTACATTCGAGGGGCGGCACCTACACTTAAAGGGGCGGTTCCTACACTTAAAGGGGCGGCACCTACACTTAAAGGGGCGGCACCTACATTTGAGGAGGCCTCATCTACACTTGAGAGTTGAGGGGTGACCCTTATTACATTATGGGTGGAGCTCTTGAAGATGGTGCGAAGTCAACAGGCGGCATTGAGTTTTTGGGTGGTACATGGTTATGGGGGCGGCACACTTTAAGTCGCCCGCCGGTTTACTTCAATTTTGAAGTTGGGGTTGCACAAATTGATGTTGGGGTTGCACAATTCAAAGTTGGGGTTGCACGTGCAACCCCAACTTGATATAAAAATCCACCCCTGGCCAACGTCCCAACAGCCGCGTTTACATAGAGATTGTTGCAAGCTTATAGCTCCGCCCGTGATGTTGCAATAGATGCCAATGGTGCTTACAATTTACAAAATAATACCTTCTTAATGTACCATGAGCATTTCACCGAATTTATTGCAAAATAAATGAGCTGAAACTTCATCAAAAATGCTATGTAACCAGGCATAATATGAGGACAGCCTCCTGCCCGAGCAGTCCGTCTATGTGCGGCAGTATTGTCCCGGAGCGCCCTCTACAAATTCTGCAAGAGCCTGCCCGCCACCTGGTGGTGGAAGCACAGGGTGAGAGCCATCGTTTTCTGAACCTGCCCGTCATCTGATGCTAGAAGCATGAACTATCAGTGCTAAGCCTTGCTGCTAGGTGGCGGGGCTGTTCACATCGGGACCATTGATTCTCATACGCCAACAGTCCCAATAAGCGCCGCATCATTTAGACGATGGTGCTCTCCCTGGAAGTCTGAGACGATCTGCAGAGACACGTCTGTGGGGGGTAGCGAACGGAGCTGGATGCTGTCCCGCCGCGCCGGCCCACCCGCGCACGGCTAGCAGCGCCACCTGGACTTTACACCGGACCAAGACATTCCGTGAACCCATGAGCAGACGAATAGAAGTACGATTCTCCGTGGCAGGTCATGCAATGATTCATTGATAAGTAGGGTTAACGGTGAATATTCAGAAACGAATTATTCGACACCAGTAAAATGTATATGATCGGGTGACTTTGGAATCGTGTAAAACAGAGAGAGAGAGGGGGAGAGAGAGAGAGAGAGAGAGAGAGAGAGAGAGAGAGAGAGAGAGAGAGAGAGAGAGAGAGAGAGAGGGAGGGAGGGAGAGTGAAAGAGCGGCCGGAGAAGGAAGAGCGAAGGGAATTATTCGTCAGTGCCGACCCCTCACGGCGCAGGCGTCAGGCACTGAACTTGTGCCCTCTGCACGTCCTCCGCCCACGAGTTATGTCTCGCTGGGAGGGCCCCGACAACCTAATGAGGTAACAAGATACTGGTTTGTGGAACTAATGGCGAAAACAAGGAACACGGCTCCTGCGTTCTCCGTGGGTGTCAGAGCTTGTTGTTGGCTAATGTGTAGAATAATACGGAGAAAAGCAGGCGACGCCTTGCCAGGGAGACCGAAGACATAAGCTGTATCAGGTAGTTGATATTCAGTGTGGGCTGACGCGGTAGAATTTCATTCAGCTTCATTTCATTGCTGGTTAGTCCGGACAGATTCATGGTCAGGGAAATGAGATTTATAATATAGATGATCGAGTTTGAGTCGTCCTCTGCAGTCGGTTACCTCGGTCCCGTTTTCCAGGAATGTGTCAAGCTACGTGCAATGTATGCCCTTATTTGACCTCCTGTATGTCCCCCTGCTGCGATAGCGGGCGGCGACACTGGCATCGATTGAACACTTCCCTGAATCAGTCCGCCATCCAACCCCCACGCCCAGCTCGCACCAAGACAGCCACAGACAGCGGTAAGCACCAAACCAGCAATCTGCTATCGGGCAACGGCTGGAGTCAGCTTCAGACGCCATCTACGAACGTGCCTGCGTCCCATCCAATAGTTCCTTTTCCATGCGGCACATATTTCATTCCTTCGCTTACCGAGAAACGCGAAGGGAACATCTCAGAACGTATATTAACTTACACCTCTCGCACACACTGCGCTAAGTACGTCTGTTATAACAGCTGCCCGGAACACTCTCAGTCGGACCTGGGATGGAATGTATCGTTTGTATGTAGAATGCATGACACGAGCCGGCTGAATACACAGCCCACTACGCAAAAAGTCGACCGATGTTTGCTTCAGAAAAACAACCATCGTGTCTAAAAATACTGAGCGCATCTCAGATCTCTGGGTAAATCAGATCAACATCAATGATTATGTAGCACGTGATAGGGTGAGCGCGGCGGCCGGCCCCGGACCGCCTCCTCCTCGCCCGGCCCGCGCGGGCCGCGAGGCAGGCACCCGGGGCCGGAGCTGCGCGCAAACAACACATACACCGGGCGGGCGGCGCCCTGCCCGCGGGCCTCCCACCAGCGTCAACAACGGGAGCTCGGCGCCCCGGCCGGCCGCGGGACGGACGGCGGCGGACGAATATGGCTAGCGGCGCACCAGTCCTCCACATGGCCGGCGGATCAGTTCAGCCAGCACCAGGAGATCGCGCACACAGCGGCACCGGCCCCAGGCGGCGAGCTCAGGTGGTGGTGTGGCGCGCCCACGTGCCCCTGGTCAGCCGACTGAACAGTCCCGCCGCGCCCGACGGACTGGTGGAGGCCGACGGACGGCTGACGGCGGCGGCCGGCGGCGGCGGCACCTCGGCACCGGCGCTGACGCTGCTGCTGCCCAGGCCGCAGTCGAGCGACGAGGCGCCCGACGGGCCGGCCGTGTCGCGCAGCTCGTCCTCGGCGCTGTCGGAGCGGCCGTCGCTGCTGGCCGGCGCCGGCGGCTGCTCGGCCAGCCGCAGCTGGCGCACCAGCACCGAGATGTGGCTGAGCAGCTCCTTGTTCTGCACGAGCAGCTGGTGGGTGCGCTGCTGCGCCTCCACCCGCGCCTTGGCCTCGGCCTTCAGCTGGTCGCGCAGCAGGTGCACCTGCGGAGAGACGGCCGGTAACCCGTCAGACGGAGTATCGAGTGCGCGGGCCACGTATGATACCGGGCGAGCGTCGAATGTCGCGGCAAAGGTCATGGGTACCAAATGAGTCAGGTCAGACAGGACACGGGTAACACGATAGAAAAATCATCGGTCAGACAGGCCAGAGGTCTGGCATGATCAATGGTGCAATATCAAGGGTATCCTACGTGAAATTCAGTAACCGATATACAATACAATCCGATGACACTTCTTCGCACGCAAGGTGCGCCGGGTTATTGGGGGCGCACGCATGGTCACAGCAGGTGAATCCAAATCCAAATCCAAATCCGAGGTGAACGAAAAACGCAGGGTCATGTCGGGTCAGCGCAACACGCAGGGTCATAGGTCAACGGCGCAGTTACGCAGTTGAATATCGACTTGGTGAACGATGAAGGAGGATTTCAGTAAGGCAAATGGGTGCTCGGCCGCGGAGAACATGGCAGGGTAAGTGACCGATTTGGATGCGTGGAACGCTTCAGAGACTGGCCGACGATCGACGGAAACCTCTCAGCAGCTATAACGAGGGAACCACGCTGACGATTAGAGAAACTCGACCAATGGACAGCAATACAACTTCAGAATAAGACTTGCAAGAATGCAGGACAGACCCAGCCGCTTGGTATTCCAGACATGATCTCTCCCTTACGCCAGTGGTCGCCGGCGTCGCTGTTACGGTCACACAAGGGACCGTGACACCGATGGCGGCTGGCGAGGGTGCCGATGAGGGCGGGCTTCAGGCAACAGGGGACATGAGTCGGGCGGTTTCGTCACGCAGTGCACGTACGAGTCGAGCTACAAACGTAAATAAGACAGTGCATCGTCTTCTCACTTCCCTCCACAAATAACTAATTCACACAAATTATCCACTCGCCTCGGCCGGCAGAGCCAATACGCACGGAGCGTCGATTGGCTCTCCATGCATTAATGAGGTTGACGCACCGCGCCGGCCGCCCAGCTCCCGACCTGCAAGGTCGTCTGTGACCGTCTCGCTGCGTGGCCACGGCCCACCGAAATCGATACGACCACCGGCCAGAGTCTGACCGAGCACAGCGAGCACGGCGCCACACGCGAGCCCGCCGCGACCTGTGATGTCACGCGCAGCCCACGCGATTCGGCCATCCCCGTCGACCCACGCAGCCCGCAGCCGGCCGCGGTGCCGGCCCCGCGGGCTGCACAAAAACCACCGCCCGCCTGTCTGCCTGTCCGAAGACACCGCACCGGGCGCGGCGACTGCATACACCGACAGACAAACATTCCGAGCGACCGGTTTTGCGCGGACGCCGGGCGGCCCGCCGACGGGAGGCCGTCACGACCGTGCCGATAAGGCCGGGGTGACGCCGCCCGCGCCCGACGACAATGCAGGGCTCCTCCGGCGGTTGCTGTGCTTTGTTCCGTCCGGGGACGAGCCTTGGTCTCCCTGCAGCTCACCGGACGGGTGGTAACTCTCACAGGCCGCCGCGCCGGCGGCTCGGACGGCCCGCAGTCGGCACCCCGACCGGTCCCGGATCGGGAGGCGGCCGGCGTGCTCTCACGTACCGGCCCGGGAAGACCGCGAGCTCTGCACACGGCCGTTAGATCCCGCGCGAGGGGCGAGGCCTGCTCCTCACTGCCACCGCCGCCGGCCCCCGGGACAGGGGAGGGGTGGATCGGCACGCAGTGCGAAACATCATGGGGGAACGGTGAATGGTTAAAATGCCAGCCCCACGTGCCGCAGACCGCTCCCTCGTTAGGGCGTGAGCTCAATCACCACGTGCCATCCCGGGGACAAAGGCTTCATGATTTATGCATGATCACGTCTTCCACAGACCGTGCGCGCCATCTCGCCCGGCACGGTGGTGAGCCGGGCTCTGCCGGTGGTGAGTCGGGCTCTCCCGGTGGTGAGTCGGGCTCTCCCGGTGGTGAGTCGGGCTCTCCCGCGAGTGCCCGGCATGGTGGTGAGCCGGGCTGTCCCGCTCCGGTGCCCGGAGCGGGCACTCCTGCCCTCTCTGGTGCCGCTGGGGTGACTGGCCACCCCGCCGAGGTCCGGGGGTGAGCGGCGCTCTCACGCGGTGAGCAGTTCTCACGTGGCCGGCCAGCGGCAGCGGTCCGTGGGAGTCCCGTATTAGCCGCCCCATTAGGCTGCAGTCTCGGTAATGTGCCCCGAGCGCCGTTTCCGAGTAATGGCCTCCCAGGCGCCGCCGGGTCGTCCATACGCGGTCCGCTGTGACCGGCAGCACGGCGCGGGTCACTCGGCACTCCGTCGGCGGCGGGATTTGGGAGACTGGGCGGCCGAGTGCCACTCAGCGGCTTACAGACACCCCAATCCGCCCCGCCCTACGTTATAGCGGCTCACATGGCACGGGGCACTGAATCAAAACTGGATTTGGCGGCTTAATCCACCGCTATACGAAGAATCATGACAGACGGTTGGTGATCATTCGTGGTGTAATTTGTCATACCACTGCGTCTTGGAAGTAATACCATGGTTTAATAAATCATTTATAAATCAGAATACAACTACTTATTACAGTGGCGCAGCCAGGGGGGGGGGGTCAGAGGGTCAGCTGACCCCCCCGAAATTTCTGTCAGGGGCCCGCTCGAGAGAAGGAGAGAGAGAGAGAGAGAGAGAGAGAGAGAGAGAGAGAGAGAGAGAGAGAGAGAGGGAGGGAGGAGAGAGAGAGACCCTAATCTAATCGGACGAGCCCGCTTCGAGAAATGCCTACTGGGACACCACGGGTGAGGGGTCGGCCTGGGCCCCAGGTGGACGGGGCCCGGGCCCCCGGGAGAACGGGCCCGGGCCCCTGGGAGAACGGGCCCGGGCCTCCTTGGTGGATAGGGCCCGGGCCCCCGTGGATGGGTCCGGGCCCCGGGAGAACGGGCCCCGGGCCCCGGGTGGACGGGGCCCGGACCCCCGGTTGGATGGGGCCCGGGCCCCCGGGAGATTGGAGAACGGACCCGGGCCTCCCGGAGAACGGGCCCGGGCCCCTGGGAGAATGGGCCCGAGCCCCCTGGGTGGATGGGGCCCGGGACCCCGTGGATGGGTCCGGGCCCCCGGGTGGATGTGGCCCAGCCCCCGGATGAATGGGGCCCGGGCCCCCTAGTGGACGGGGCCCGGCCCCCCTGGTGGACGGGGCCCGGAGCCCCAGGTGGACGTGGCTCGGGCCCCCGTGTGGATAGGGCCCGGGCCCCTGGTTGAATGGGGCCCGCTAGGGTGACTCGCTTGCTCCCCAAAGCGAATAAGGGGTATTTTCGATCGGTGGGCGTTTGGCTGGTCTTGTGTCCGTGGGTTATGTATCCAATTCGGTTGATTGCTTTTTGACGGCTAAGCATTTTGGTTTGGGAAAAAATATCCATTGCATCGAGGTGCTCGTGTCTGATAAGCATGCGTTCTACTATAGAACATGTCATGTGTAGTTTATAACAAAGGTTGACGTAGGTTATTGAAAAATGATAGCGATCGATGAATTACTTTGTAGAGGTTTGCAACATTTATATTTTTAAGAATACTGTTGCTCGTCATGCAAAAGCGATGATTGGATTTTGGACAAAATTAAATGTTCTTTCCAACTATGCCATTTTCAACTGTCAAACGTACCAGGTTATGCAGTAAAACCCATGTAATTAAGTAAGTCATTAACAAATACCATTCTCTCCAGCGATTTGTTCTGAACCTTGTTTTTGATCAATTAGCTGTTCACAATTTTTCCATGAGAGGCGGTACCTTTCTTTTGCCAACAGGCGTTGTTTGAACCCGGTCCGTCAAACAGTCACCCGAAAATAGCATTAAGTCCCAAATCTGTCCGAAACGTAAATTTTCCAGCATAAGTGCCCTCACGGGTGCACGTGGCGCGTGCCATCCCTGCACCGCACACCATTCGATAGTCCTTTCGATTCTCTACACGATACTGTGTTCCCCGTGCCGATTGGGCCCACGGTTACCGAGATACTGCATGGGTACCGGACCAGTGTCTGGCATATTTAGCCATTTTCGCCCGATTTTGCAAGCCGATTTATACATGTAAAGTCCATGACGCGAATTTGCACTTTTTGAGCACGCGCCATGTGCTCGCTATCGATCCGATCGAGCTGAGACCCTCAAAGGCACGTTGCCCATCCTTGATCTATAAGTTGCGCAAATTTCAGCGCACTTGGCGCAACGGTCGGGCCCGTACCCCGCGCTAAGTAACACCATGCCGGGACCACGATAGCAGACAGAATCTACGTCACCACATCACCACGCCACAACAAACCCGGCCCAAGGCAAGAGTATGCATTTAGGCCAGGTCGGGTCAGGTCAGGTCAGGTCAACCAATAGGAGTCCTGCCGGGTACCTATTCGTAGTACCTACCTACGTGTCAGCCGCCTCTGGCAGCTTCGTAACATGTTACGAAGGCACCAAAACTACTTCGTAAATGTTCAAATGGTTGTTAAATTCGGATTCAGCTCCAAAAACTAGCCTGGAAACATGTATAATTCGAAAAAAGTACCGAGGTCATCATAGGTAATGAATGACCTGACCTGACCTTCAGGTGACCTTGACATCCACCCTAATGCATGGGAGCAGCATCAACTCACTGTTGTTTGAATGCTTGAAACCACGAAAGACTGCAAACGCGCGGCTAATGCGAGCCGGCATACGCCGAATCGCGATTCTGGCCAAACATGGTCTCGGAAAGTAGGTCACAGGTCAAAGGTCATTTGGGTCAGGGTCATGAAATTTCTAGGGTAGGGTAGAACTGATCAACGCGAGGGTACTGAAAGTTTGGTCGTGATCGGCTGCTTCTTACGCGAGTTATTTGCGAAAACCCTTAGGGGGTTGCATCATCCCCTCCCCTGTGCCGGCGAGGGTTAAAACTTCTTGTGAGCGAATGCACGTAATGAAGAAGAATAAATCACAATCTACTACAGCAGCCAATAGATGACTTAGGAGTTAGGACAGGCACATGGGACTGCTTAAATCTTGTCCGACAGAAGCAGGC